CCAGTGTAACCTAGCTTCAACGATGTGTTCTGCCCCCTCCTCCAGGAAGCCTCCCTTGACTGAAGGCTGTTGGATCCTAGGTATACAGTAGTTTTAAAACAGGAAGGAAATAAAAGAAAATGAGGACCAAGATAAGGGATTGAACCCAGAGAACTGGTTCAGTGAGCTCAAGGTCATTAGCACCAAAGTCCGGGCAGGAAGCCAAAAAAGTTGCGAAACCAGAGATTTGGCAGGGGAAAAGCAAATGATGTGGAGCTATGTTAAGAGATAAATGGGAGATAAGAGAAGCACCTGCCTTATCAGCAGTTCCCTCTGAGACTATCTGTCCAGGATCACCAATGTCAGGTATTCTCCCTGGCAAAGAGGGAAGCCATCAGCTCCAAGCATTGTCCATCGCCAGGCTGCTGCCCATCCGCAACCCAACTCAGAGTCAATCTTAAGCAGCCAGACCTAGACCAGATGGAAATCAATTCATCAACTTGCATTTAATAAGTGCCCACTGTGTGCAGGCAAATAAATGTGTTTTTTAAAGTGCCCACTGTGTGCTGGACCCTATGCTACACATGAGGGAGACAGAGACAAAATCAAAACCTTCCCTGACCTCAAGGAGCTTCCATTCTAACAGGGTTCTATCTCGTTCAATTGTGATGTGGACAAGCTACAAGAATGGGAATCAGGAGACTGAGGACCTCATTGGGCATCTGTCTCCTACTGATTGTATGAACTTGGGAAGTCATTCTCTCTGGAACTCAGAGAGAATGAAATGATTATACTGTACTCTGCAGCCTCTACGAAGAACCTCGCTGTTCTATCGTCCTGTGATCTATGACTTTCAAAATCCCCATTTTGTCTCCACTTGTCTCTGAGGCCCTGCTTCACACTTCTCACTATGTCATGTGGGTTGAACTCTAAGTCCAGGGAAGCCAGAGACTCTAGAGGCTGGTACAGGAGTGGGATGAAGCTGATGCCAGTCCAGGCTGTGGCTTTAACAATTAACTTCACCTTGATTTTGGTAATAGGAAAATACCAAATAATTGAAACTACTGAGGCCCCTCCAAGCCATGCCAGTACTTTCTAAACACTGTTAAGGGGTACTGGCTATACATACACCCTACATATACACATACACATACACACACATACACATTTCAGTTGTTCAGTTATATTTCAGTCATGTCCAACTCTTCATGACCCCATTTGGGGTTTTCTTGGCAAAGATACTAGAGTCGTTTGCCATCTTCTTCTCCAGTTCATTTTACAGATGAGGAAACTGAGGCAAACAGAATTAAGTAACTTGCCCAGGGTCACACAGCCAAGAAGTGTCTGAGGCCAGATTTCACTCAGCTCTTCCTGACTCCAGGCCCAGCTATCTATCCACTGTGCCACCTAGCTGCTCTTAATATAATACATTGGGCCATCCCCAGTGCTGCTACTAATTCCTTATGGTCAGAACCCTCTACTGGATTATGGTTGAAGGAACACAAAGGAAGAAAAAAATATCCTCTTCCTCTACCCTCCTCTTTCAGACCAGAAGCTCTTCATGTTTCCACATCAGACTGGGAGCTCCCTGAGGGCAGGGACTGTGTCTCCATCATCAAACTGGGAGCTCTTTAAGTGCAATAACTACATCAGTCTGTGAGTTCCCTAAAGGCTGGGCATGGGCCTCCTCTATCAGTCTTAAAGTTCTTGGAGGGCAGGGTCTGCCTCTTAGGAGTAGGGGCTTTGTTTATGTACTCAAGAGCAGGTAGGTGGCTCAGTAGATAGACCGCTGGGCCTAGAGTCAGGAAGATCTGAGTTAAACTCTGGCCTCAGACACTAAGTAGTTGTGTGACTCTGGGCAAGTCACTTAACTCTTCCTCAGTTTCTTCATCTGTAAAATGAGCTAGAGAAGGAAATGGCAAACTGCTGCAGTATCTTTGCCAAGAAAACCCCAAACTGGGTCATGAAGTCAGACATGACTGAAAACTGACCAAACCACATACATTAACTACTCGAGAAGGCGTCAGGTATTTACTGAGGCTTGTTTTCTGCTCAGCCTTGTACTAGGAAGGCCCTGTGGAGGTTATAAGGGAACGATGACACATGGTCCCTGACCTCTTGGAGCTGGCAACCTGGATGAGGACACAGGATGTGAATCGATGCAACAACTAGGCAATGATTCACAGGTTAATAGAGAAGGGAAGGGTCAGTGTGAGTTGTACTAGACAGGGAAAGTTTCCACTGTCCAATCCAAACAGCATTTGTTAAAGGCCTACTACGTGCAAGGCACTATTCTAGGAACTGAGAATACTCCCAAAAAGCTTACATTCTGCTAAGGGAAAGCAACCTGACAACAGATCAATAAAGACAAAGTAACTTCCTTTTATGTTTAAAAAATTTTTTAATAAATTGTATTGCTATCTTTTGTATTGACATTACCTACATTTTGCAATGCTTACCTCCCTCGGCCTCCCAGAGAGCCGTCCCTTATGACTAAGAGTGAAAGAAGAGGGAGGAAAACAGCTTAACAAAGTCTGACATTATCTGCATCATTCCATTCCCACAGTTCCACAGCTCTGCATAGAAAGAGGAGGCTATACATTTTCGAAATTCTTCTCCAAGGTCAAGGTTGTTCATCACAATTTCGCATATTTTGATTTCGACTTTGCTCTATATGAGTTGGTACAAGTTTTCCCATGTTTTTCTATATTCATCAGATTTACTGTTTCACAGCTAAATAGTGTCAATGGGGAGACATCATTCATAACTCTGAGAGAGGATTAGTAAAGTTCTCCTGTGGGAGGTGGAAGGAAGCTAGAGAAATACAGGACAATTCCTAGATGAAATAGCCCTTGAGATGGCCCTTTAAAGGCTAGGAGGCTTGGTGTGAGTGGATCATAGCTCTGGGGCTGGAAGGGACCTCCGCATTGCCAAAAGGAGGAGAGAGTAATAAGGGAAGAACCAGGTGATGGACAGGTGGCACCAGTAGGAGCAGACAGATTCTAGAATCTGCAAGGATTTATACACTAAAGGTGGAGAATGGGATCCATCCCCTCTCTTAAAGGACAGGAGAATTGAGCTCAAACCTCTAGCCATGCAGACACATAGCTACATGTATTCCCCCCCACCCCACCCCCACACAGATTCATATACATACCCAGGCTTGTGTTCTGCTTACATATAAACAGAAAACAACACAAACTCATAGCATCTAGTGCTGTCGGGGAATTTAAAGATTATATAATCACAGGTTCACCGATTGAAAGCTGGAAGGGAGCTTAGAGACCATTGAGTACATTCCTCTCATTACATAGATGAGGAAACTGAGACACAGAGAGATTTGTGGGTTGCCCAAAATCACTTAACTTTTAAGTATCATAGGGAAGAATTTGAACCCAGGTCTTCCTGAATCCAAATCCAGTGCCCTGTCCACCATGCCACATTGTCTCTACTTGTAATAGCACCATAAATTTAGAACTGGAAGGAGTATTTTTGTTGTTCAATTATTTTTTCAGTTGTGTGTGACTCTTCATGACCCCATTTGATGTCTTCTTGGTAAAGACACTGGAGTGATTTGCCATTTTCTTCCCTAGCTTGTTGTACAGATGAGGAAACTGAGGCAAGCAGGGTGAAGTGACTTGCCCAGGATCACACAGCTAGGAAGTGCTTGAGGCCAGATTTGAACTCAGGAAGATGAGTCTTCCTGACTCCAGGCCCAGCACTCTATCCACTTAGACATGTAGCTGGCCCAGTTCCAATTAGAGGCAACTTATCTCCAGATTGAACTTGGAGTCAATCGATCAATAAACATTTATTAAGTGCTTACTATATGCCAGGCACTGTGCTAAGTGCTGGAAGTCAAGAAGACCTGAGTTTCTATCTGACCTTAGACACTTCTATCTGTGTAACCCTAGGCAGATCATTTAATTATTTTTCTCAGCCTCAGTTTCTTCAGTATGCCTCAGAGGATAGTCCCTAGCTATCCCTGCTTCCCAGGGCTGTTGTGAGTGTCAAATGATAGAACATGTAAAGCATTTTGCAAACCTGAAAGCACTACACAAATATTAGCCACTTTGATTATTTTTACTGTTCACAAACACATCCACCTGTTCCCAGACTCACCTAGCTCTCACCAGCTCTGCCCCACTGTTAAACACCAGGTTTCAGAGCTACCTGCCAGCAGTCCACCTTCTCTTTCTGAAGGACTGAGGCTGGAAAAGCAAGACTACCCTCTCCAAGTTTTCAATGAACAGCCACTGGTGGAAGGTCCATTGCTCAGAGGGTTGTCTTTGTAATGGGGACTTGGTTCACGCCTAGAATGCCTCAGATATTGTCTTTCTATATGGAGGACAGTAGAGAGTTCACTTCCAGGAGATGCAAATGGTAAGCAAGAGAAAAATTCCTTAGGGAGACTATTTGGATAGAGCATGTATAGACATTCTACAATGGTTCCAATTGGCTAACCATGAAATGAAGGGAAGACTGCTTGGCTGGCTTCAGAGACATTCAAAAAGGCCTGCCAGCATCAACCACCTCCTATTCTTCCTCAATCACTCTTTTCTTAAGCTTGAGGTAGACATCCCCCAACTCACTGACAGGTTTAAGGCTTGTCAGTTAGCCTCAACCTGGTTTAGCTCATCTGCCAAAATGGTTTTATTGAGGTGTGGTGGCTTCGCTTGCTACAGATTCTTGGAGAGGCAGATGAGAGAAATAGACACCAAAGGTGGATGAGCAGCTCTGAAAAAGGCTCATCAAGCTTCATACCAGAGGTACTAGTCTTCCCTGAACATTCTGTACTTCCACCTCAGAATGGGTGGATAAGAACAATTTGTTCCAATGGCCATGAAAGTGGCTAAAGCAAGTGCTGTGGAATGCTTAGAGCTTGGTCAGACACCAAGGTCACCTACTGCATCCCAGGCCATTGACGGTCACTTTTGTCCCGCCACTGGTCTTCAATGACTCTGGAAGAGAGTATAAGGTTGACGACTTTGCCCAACTCTGCCTCACTTAAGTCCAATTCACGAGTGAGTCAAGATATCACCCTGTGATGTCCTTGGTCCTCTTTGAAGACAAACAACACTCCTAGGGACAGGAAGAAGTAACTTAAAGGTAGGAACATGAGCATTTAAGTATTGGGAGATTGATGGGGCTAAGAACATTCAATATTTGCAAGGGTCATAGCTAAAATGGACCTTAGAAATCATTTTGGGCTCAGATTCTTAAAATCTAGCCACTGCTCAAATTCCTTAGGAGTCTGGCCAATATGGCGGATGTTTTAATAAACCTTGTCTTTGGCTGAAAGAAGGCTTGGGCCGAATTCATTCAGGCAGGACCCGTATTGTTGTGATTATGGGGTCCCAGCATCCCAGCACCCCTAAACCTCAACATTTTGGTGGCCCAAACGGGGAAAGCTGCCTAACCTCAAGTTCTTCTCCAACCAAGACTGGAAGCCTCCTCCCCACTTCTTTCTTGTCCTGCAGTTGGGGACGCTCTCCAAGCTTGGAGGTGTTTTTTGGGCAGACAGTTACAAGGGTGTCTCACACTCGGCCTGATGCTCTCAGGCTCTCGGTCCACTGGGTTAGTCCCAGGCCATGGACCTGGGTACACCTTCTGCAACATAGAGGACAAGGATGAACACCCTATCCAGAAGCGTATGCCCAATTTTGTCAATTCTTTCAATGCTCAGGAATTTGGAAAACTTCAGGTGCTTTTTGCTTCCCTGAGGCTTACTTACTCCCTTCCCTCTACCTCCCTGAATCGTCCTTCATGGAGGCTACAGGGGAAAGTTAGAATAGATAAAACTATCTTGGCAGATTCTGAAAGTTTTGTGATCTAACATTAAGGAGTTTTGAAACACCTCCTTATAACCCTGGTCACTCCCTTCTCCCACTCCCTTCCCTTGAGTCCAGAGAGGGTATTTGTTAATCTCTCTTATAGGAGAAGAGAGTTTCACTTCCCCCCACATCTCTGAATTTGCCTTCTACAGCATGGGCCCCCCTGGCAGTGCTTTGGGCCCTGGGGCAACCTTTGCTTGGAAGTATCACTGAGGTTCAGCATATCCTGCTCAAGGTAAAGAAGCTAGCCTCCAAACTTGGGTAAGCATGCTCTTTTAAAGTTGTAGTTTTACCTGTTAATGATGAGATGTTAATTCTCTGTGTAAAGTAATTCGGAAATGCATGTAACGAAACTGAAGTCACCTGATTGGTAATGGATTTGTTTCAATTTCAAATTGGTAAACTTTCTGTATCAGTTATGTCTAGCAATTTTTCATAATTTGGTTACTGTTGAAATAATTTGGCTATTGTCAGTTATTGTTTTAATGTGTAAACTTGTCAGAAAGCTTGTTTGGGTTTTGTCTTGCTGAGAATTTGCAAGTATATACAAATAATCTCCAATGATTGGCTTTTTATACCAAGACAAATTTAAGTTTGAGATGTAAATCCTGGAAAAGCTTTCCCTAAGCTGTGATTAGTGAAACTTGCTGTTTGAGGTAAAAGCTCATAGGATTTTATTTTGAGTTGGCTGATGTATCATAATAATCCATCGATAATCAACAATTTACCATCTGAGAGAAATGCCACAAGCTACCCAGAAAGAATGTGATACTGGTGAGAAGTCAGCATTGGGAAAAGCTGAGAGGACAATTTTAGCCTCAGTCTAAGATGGGATCCTCTTAGCTCTGTTTCCCCATTATGTTCCTTTGAAAAGGAATGTTACCCACCTGGTTATTCCTGAGTTTGGCTATGAGGTGGATTTGATACTGCACGGTTGGAAAACTGAATTATCTGAATCCAAATAGAGCTAAGGATATTTTATCCTGTCATATCTGGGCCCTGCAGTCTTTTCTGCCACATTTGTGTCTTCCAGACTACAAGCCATTCACCTACAGTTGGAAGCAAACAGCGGGTACCAGCCAATATTCCCCGCATCATTTCCTGGATGCAGCCTGTGTTCAGTTCCGGTCAACCTCCTCTTTGGGATCCCCCTCGAGGCAGAGACAGCTCTACACCCCTTGCCAGCAGGAAGCAGTTTCAGAAGCCAAGACCTTTGCCCCTTACCCCAAAAGAATTTGCGTCCCATTTGTTTGAGGAGGAATGACGAGGATGGGATCTGGACCCCCAAAAGGAAAAACCTTGGATTTTCCCAAATGGCCAAATCTCTCGTGTTAGCCTGAGGCTATATAACCCTATCAAATGGCCTTTCATTATTGCCTTTGCCCAATCTACCTCCAGATGGACCCTTAATCCTATCTAGACTCCATTCTCCCTTGGCCACATGGTCCCAGCTTACTGGCCATTCCCATCCAGATATTCCTTAGACCCCTCCTCCAGTCACCCCAAACTACTTGGCCACTCCTAGATCCCTCCCACAGTCTTTCTATATATAAGGTCCATCTTGTCTCCATTAAGGTGCTCAGATTCTTACAATCTAGCCACTGCTCAGATTCCTTAAGAGTTTGGATGTTCTAATAAACCTTGTCTTTGGCTGGGAAAAAAAAAGAAATCTTGTTGTCCAATCTCCTTATTTAACAGATAAATACCATATGGGGAAGAGATGTGGTCCAAGGTCACCCAAGAAATAAATAGGAGGTTTGGGCTTTGTTCCCAGGTGGTACAGTGGAAAGATGCTTTATTTAGAGTCAGAAAATCTGGATTTGAATCCCGGCTCTTTTCCTAATTAACTTATACCATTTAACTTATGTGAGCCTCAGTATTTTGATCTGTAAAATGAAAGAGTAAGAGGATCTAGCCTCTAAGAGTCCTTCCAATTCAAAATCTGTTCTCCTGTGCCTTGGAATCCATTGCTTTCTCTTCTTGAGAATAGGGTTTGTAGGATGCCAAAGTGTGAAAGTGTGCTAACATAATGCCCACCAGAGAGTAAGAAGGGACTCATAGTTATAGTAAGTTGCATATGTCTTGTTTGGTCTGGTGGCTATGGAAGACCTCCACATGTGATGTAAATGATGCACAGATATAATTTGCAGGCTGAATCAACAATGAGAAACCATGGTTAGGGAGAAATGCTAGTGTCCTCCAGGGCTCTATCCCCCTGTCCCTCTTCTCTTCCTCCTCTATACCATTTCATTTGGTGTTCTCATCTGCTTTCATTCCATTTCTATTCTGATGATTCTCAAATTTACTTAGCCAGACTAACCTTTCTCTAGACCTCAGTCTTTCATCTCCAACTTCCTATTGGACACCTTGAACCTGATGTCTCTTAGACATCTTTTTAAAAAATTATTTGTTTAATTATTAATTTGTGGAACAAAACAAGCACTTCCATAACATAGTACTATTAAAAGGTGATTGCATATGAAACAGCAAATCTATTATGTACAAGTTGCTATTCCTTATAATAAAGTTATCGTGTAAATTTCTTTTTTCCTCCTTTTTTTCTTCCCTCTCCTGCCCCCAACATGCCCAAAACTGAACTCATCTTTTGCCTTCCATACCCTTTCCCCTTCCAAACTTCCCTGTTACCTGTCATCCAGCCTTGCAACCTAGGTATGATCCTCAATTCTTCACTATCTCTCACTGTTCCCCCACCCCATCCAATCTATTGTTCCCAAGTCCTGCCGATTTCATCTATAAAACATCTCTCCAATATGCCCCCATCTCTCCTCTGACACTGCCACCACCCTGGTCCAGGCCCTCATCACTTTATACTTGGACTGTTGAAATAGCCTGCTGGCTGGCCTCCCTGCCCCAAATCCCTCTCCACTACAGTTCATCTTCCACTCAGCTGTCAAAGTGATTTTCCTATAGCTCAGGTTGGGACATATCACCCTCCTACTCAGTAAATTCCAGTGGCTCCCTGTCGCCTCCAGAATAAGTAGAAAAATCCTCTGTTAGGGGTTCAAAACCCTTCATAATCTTCTCCCTCTACCTTTCCAGTCTTCTCACACTTGACTCACTCCTATGTACTCTACAGTCTTGCAACACTGGCCTCCTTGATGCTCCTCACACAAAATTATCCATCTCCTGTCTTGGTCTCATCATTGGCTATCCTGGAATGCTCTCCTTTCTTATCTTGGTCTCTTGGCTTCCCTGGCCTCTTTCAAGTCCTAGCTAAAATCCTACCTTCTACAGAAAGCCTTTTTAATTCTAGGCTTTCCCTCTGTTGATTAGTTTCAATTTATCCCACATAGAGCAGATTTGTGCATAGATGCTTTAATTTTGTCTCTGCCATTAGACTGTGAGCTTATCGAGAACAAGGACTCTGTTTTGGGTTTTGTGTGTGTGTGTGTGTATCCCCAGTTCTTAGCACTGTGCCTGGCTGTTGTTGCTTCTCTTTCATTTTCAAAGAGAAACAAGAATATCATAGGGTGACTTCTTGACTCATTCATGAATTGGATTTAAGTGAAGCAGAGTCACCTTGCTCTCTCTTCCAGAGTCATTGAAGTCCAGTGGCAAGACAGAGGTCAAGACTGGATGACATTAGTGTCTTTGATGTCTGACCATGCTCTAAGTGCTCCACAGCACCAGATTCAGCCACCTTCATGCTGTTGGAACAAAGTGTTCTCAGCCACCCATTCTGCCATGGGAATTCTTCACATGCTTGAGTTAGACCTCACTCTAGCTCACTTATGGGTTTGAGACCTGTTGTTATTCTCAACTTGGTTTAACCCATTTGCCAAGAATGTGGTTGTGGCCACTGAGCATGTTACAGCTTCTTGGAACCACAGGTGAGGATTGGGCGGCAGGTGGACCCCAAAGGCGGATAAGCAGCCCTGAGAAGGGCTTGGCAGGCCTTCACACTGGAGGTGCTAGCCCTCCTTGAACATCCCATCTACTTAGCACCATGCCTGACACATAATAGGCACTTAATAAATGTTTATCGACTGGAATCCACTTGCCAAGCCCCACCTCCTTGTAAGCTTTCCCTCAGGACCCCAGGGGGCCCAAAGTGGCTGATTCCTCCCTCCCCTGAGCCACAATAGCCCTTGCTCCCACTGGGCCCAGAACTCATAGAGTCTAGTGTGGTTATTTCATGATTCATGTGTTTATGTCTTTTTTTCCCTCGCTAGACTTGTCAGCTCCTGGAGAACAGGAATTGAGGCAGTGACAAAAGCCAGCCCTAGAGGCAAGAAATAGAATCCAGACTTAATCACTTACTAGCAAATTATTGCCTTTCTCTGGGATTTGGATCACTCATCTGTAAAATAGGGTTCATAACATTTATACTACCTTTCTTACTTGATGTATGGAGCTGGGCCTAGTACATCTTCATGTCTATGCAAATGGGAGCCATTGTTACCATCTCAGAATCTCTCACTGACTAGCACAGTAAAGAAATGTTTATTGAGTAACTGATTATTGATTGATGACCAGGATAGGGATGAGATGAGGCCAGACAGGTGCCGGGAAGGGAAGAGTTCTTGAGTTGGAGTAATGAAGAGAGAGCAAACTGAGCTTCACCACCAACCCCATTGAGTTGGGTATATAATAACTTCAACTCAGAGCAAAACCCAAAATCTGATGTGTCTTTTTATTAAGAAGACGTGGGTTCAAATCTTGCCTTGAACGTTTACTAGCTGTGCATCCATGGGCAAGTCCCTTAACTTTTCTGAACCTCAATTTCTTCATCTGTAAAATGAAAATACCTAATAGCACTTACCTCATAAGGTTACGACCATCAAAGAGATAGTATCTAAAAAGCCCTTTATAAACCATAAATCATATTACTACTATTCCTATCCCAACACTAGACTTAGTCTAATGGGTACCCATGAATAAAATAAAGTCTGAGCACTTAAACCAACCCACTTCCTACCCCTCTCCTAGTTCCACCTCTAACTTTTCAGTAGAGTTATAACTAAGGTCTTTGTACATGGAACAAATAGCAGGAAAATCCCCTCAATTGTGGGAGTGGATAAAGATAGAGACCCTGGGACACTGGCAAGATGGGAGGGAGAGGATCTTACCCTTACAGATGATCATCTAGTTGCTTCTAATCCAATTCAACAAGAATTAACTAGGGAAGGGAATAAGTATCTATTAAGCACCTACTATGTGCCAGGCACTGTGCTAAGTGCTTTTTCATAAACATCTCATTTGATCCTCGTAACAACTCTTAGAGGTAGTGCTATTATTATCCCCATTTAACAGTTGAGGAAACTAAAGCAAACAGAGGTTAAGTGACTTATCAAGAGTCACACAGTTGGAAAGTGTCTGAGCTCAAATTTGAACTCAGGACTTTCTGACTACAAATCCAGTGTTCTATCCATTTTGCCATCAGCTGCCTCATGATACAATACTGGTTTCCTACTATACATAAGGAGCAATGCCGACTGGGGACACAAAGACAAAATAAAAAATAGTTAAGAAGTTTACATTTAAACTGGTAGTAAATAACATGTAAGCAGGTAAGTTGAGACATAATAATTTGAGTAGGAAGAGAACACTAACATTTTTGGAAAGGTTTCCTGTGGCTAGCCACTAGCAAAACAAATCCTGATTGGGGGGTTGGGGTAGGGGGGAGAGGGAGGAATGAATGAAGCAGCTGCTGATCAATTGGGGAATGGTTGAACAAATTGTGGTTTGTAAACCTAATGGAATATTGTTGTAATGTAAGAAATGACGAAAGAAATGATTGCAGAGAATCATGAGTCATATGAACTGATGCAGAATTTCATTCAACCATTTTTCAGTTGTGCCTAATTCTTTATGACCCCATTTGAAGTGGTTTGCCATTTCCTTCTCCAGCTCATTTTACAGGAGGAAACTGAGGCAAACAGTATTAAGTGATTTGTGCAGGGTCACACAACCAGTAAGAGTCTGAGGCCAGATCTGAATTTAGGAAGATGAGTTTTCCTGACTCCAGGACCAGTGCTCTATCCACGGCACCATCCGGCTACTCCCTCTGTCCCCCCCAGTAAAAGAGCAGAGCTAGACAACAATTTATACAAGGACAACACGGTGAATTTGAAAGACTGAAGTTCTCCAAGTAAAGCAATAGCCAAGCATGCCTCCAGACCACCAATGATGAATGCTACCCACCTTCTGACAG